TTACACATTTTTTTTCAATTTCAAGTCTCTAGCTTTTCTAGGAGCTGAGATACTGCTATTTGAAGTTTTGGAGAGACGCAGACAACGAGACACACTGCGTCTGTGACTCTGACTATCTGCGTCTCTCCTTAACTTTGAATGACTGTATCTCGGCTCCTAAATGAGCTAGATGTTTGAAATTAGAACAAAAATATGTGGAATGTCACAAGGAACAATTTGATACTAAATTCACGGTTTGAAGCTTTGGAGGCTAGAGACACCAAACGACGAGACACACTGCGTCTCTAGCCTCCTTAACTTCAAACGACCGTATCTTGCGTTCTAGATGCCCTAGAAACTCAAAATATGAGCAGAAATGTGTGGAATGTCATGATGAACAAATTGATCAATATTGGAAAACGAGAGACGCAGACGACGAGACACGCTGCGTCTCTAGCCTCCACAACTTCAAAACTATATATCTCGAGTTCTAGAAGAGCTAGAAAGTTGGGAATTCGACAGAATGAAAGGAATGATTTAGGGAACGTTTTAGATTTTGAAATTAACACAATTTCAAATTTTTGAGAAAATGGTGTTTATTATAAAAATTGATACATCTAAAAACTCGGATTCCCAACTTATTTATGCGAATTCTCAGATATTCTTTTAGAAAACCCCAAAAAACCTGTATGGCTGTATAAACGCAATTGTGACAATTGGTGAGACCATAGGAATACAATCCATCAGTCTGAAAGTGATGTTTTCTGGAATTGGCCCAGAAATAAATCCAAATTGCGCCAACGAATAAATTCCAGACGCCACAAGCCAGAAAATCGGAATTCCAGCCTGGACGGTAAGTGCCTGGAAGTGTTGGGGCATATTTTTTTTTGTAAATTTGGGTTTCTAGAGTTTTAGATGTTTTAGTGGTCAAAATCACGATTTTCAGCATTTCAAACTTTCTAATTTATATTTGAAAACGTCAAAATCGAGTTTCCCAAGCTTTTTCACCCCAGGACACCAATTTTCAGCCCGCTAGCTCAATGTGTCGTAAAATTTGGTGTTTTGTGTGCGAACACTGTGATCCACACGATGTTTGCAGACAAGGCACTAGATTTCACGACACTTTGAGCTAGAGAGCTGAAAATTGGTACCCAGTGGTAAAAAATCATGGGAAACTCGATTTTGATAATTTCAGCTCAAAACTTTGAGTTTTTTGGACCGAAAAAACGCAGAAAACTCAAATTTTGTCTTTTTTTGACCCACCCGAACCAGTTTCTGATGACTGATTTTGGCAGCTGGTGACAAGTTGATTGAGGGGTTGTTTAAGATTTTCAAAGTCTGAAATTTGAAATTTCAGCAAATTAGCTCTAATGAGAAAAAATTACATGGTGACGGAAATACAGAATCGCACAGTAAATTGGGACGCATGGAGTTGTCATATACATAATAGAGATGAACGTGATTGGGGCGAACATGGAAATGTTTCCAGACAAGACGAGGTCTGAAATTTTTTGAAAAAAACATTCAGAAATTCAGAAATTCAGAAATTCAGAAATTCAGAAATTTAGAAATTCAGAAATTCAGAAATTCAGAAATTCAGAAATTCAGAAATTCAGAAATTCAGAAATTCAGAAATTCAGAAATTCAGAAATTCAGAAATTCAGAAACCCACTATTCCAAATACTCCCATCATCATAATGATACTCGGGATGTAGATCCGTCATGATTCTCAGCAATTCCTCAGAATCACTGATATCAAAAAGATAAACTACCAAAAAACACAGCGACATTGAATAGAATGCTCCAGAATTCCTCCACATCTTCTGAACTGTCGGTGTGGATCCTTTTAGAACGTCGTAACGATACATGAAAGATCCCAAAAGGATCCATTGAGAATGAGCAAGGGTGTGACACTCGAAACAGTGACAAAAATAGCAAAACCAGGAGGAAACGTGCTTACAGGGACCGTGGAATATGTAGATCAGCGACCAACCCGAGAAAATTACTCTGAAATTCCGTAAAGTTTGCCAAATTTTGAGCTAAAAACTGATCAAATCGGAACACGGATAGCCGAAATAGAGCCACTTGAAGTTTCGGAGGCTAGAGACGCCACACGACGAGACACACTGCATCTCTAACTTTTGAATTTACTATCAAATCGTGCCTCAAGACATCCTACACATTTCTGTTTAAATTTCAAGTCTCTAACTTTTCTAGGAGCTGAGATACGGCTATTTGAAGTTTTGAAGAGACGCAGACAACGAGACACACTGCGCCTCTAACCTCTTAAACTTCAAACGGCTGTATCTCGGCTCCTAGATGAGCTAGAAACTTGAAATTTGTACAGAAATGTGTAGAATGTCATGATTAACAATTTGATATTATATTCAAAATCAAGAGACACATGGTGTCTCGTTATCTGCGTCTCTAGCTTTCTCAACACCAAACAGTTTTGTTTCAGCCCTTTTTTGTAGATTTCCTTCTTTTTTTTTGCTAATTAGATTCTGGAAATTGGAGTTTGAATTTCCAATGTCCGAATTATAGGAGTTCAAAATTTGTGATTCGAAAAATCAAAATTCGATTTTCGATTTTAGAATTCAAATTATCTAAATTCAGACCTCCAAAACAGAAATTCAGAACCGCAGAACCACAAATCAGAACTCAGAACACGGTAGTTGGAATTCCAAGAATCAGAATACAAAAAGAATAACTCACTTCTGACAGGAGAAGAACGAAATGATGCATGTGGCGAAATCAAAAAACGCGAAATTCATCAAGTAGACAGAGTACGATTTCATTAGAAGTGGTGTTCGTTTTAAGATCAAATAGATCAACATTGCGTTGAAAACGGCACCTGGAAACCGCGACGTTTTAGAACTGTGACGTTTTGAAACCGTTTTTAATTTTATTTTGGAATGTTCCAGAACCCCCGAGTTTTTACATTTCTGAATAATCTCAGAATTTCAGAATTTCAGAATTTCAGAATTTCAGAATTTCAGAATTTCAGAATTTCAGAATTTCAGAATTTCAGAATTTCAGAATTTCAGAATTTCAGAATTTCAGAAAATCAGAATTTCAGAATTTCAGAATTTCAGAATTTCAGAATTTCAGAATTTCAGAATTTCAGAATTTCAGAATTTCAGAATTTCAGAATTTCAGAATTTCAGAATTTCAGAATTTCAGAATTTCAGAATTTCAGAATTTCAGAATTTCAGAATTTCAGAATTTCAGAATTTCAGAATTTCAGAATCTCAGAATCTCAGAATCTTAGAATCTCAGAATTTCAGAATCTCAGAATTTCAGAATCTCAGAATCTTAGAATCTCAGAATCTTAGAATCTCAGAATCTCAGAATTTCAGAAATTCGGAATCTCAGAATCTCAGAATCTCAG